CTAAACCCTAAACCCTAATGATTCGTCCTTTTGCCGAGGCGGCTTTCGGGGAGGCCGAAGAGGGCGGCTCCCTCGGGTTCCAGGAGCTGCGGGAGCCTCTAATGGTGCTAATCTTTGGGGCCTAGATCATTTAGGGTTTAGGGTTTAGGGTTTAGGGTTTAGGTGGGCTCCTTATTATTATAATTATACAACAATATACCCCAGAACCCTATTCTAGTTATTATTATAATTATACAACAATATACCCCAGAACCCTATTCTAGTTATTATAAGGCCCCTAGAGGATCCCTGACTGCGTGTGTAGGCTGCTCCATCGCTTGTACTGGTATTCAAACTGGGACTCCGATGGCGACGACGACGAAGGGTTCCACGGGGAGGGGGGGGTTCGGGTTATACGAGGGTTATGAATCGAAGAAGGGTTTTGTGAGGGTGCTAGAAGGGTTCTAAAGGATTCTATAGGGTGGTTAAATTGGGTTCTATAGCATGACATGGGTATTTAGAGTGTTGTAGGGCCTCTAAGAAAGGATCCTACTGCATGGTCGGCTTTATAGTCTTCATAGTTCGGATGTGCGGGTCCTCCGTAAAAAGGGCACTAACTAAGCCGAGCTCGTGGCGGCTTAGCTTGCTGAGTTTGTAAGAACTGAACTTATTGAGGATGTATAAAAATATAGCTATAGGCTATAATTATATATGAATAGAGAGAGAGAGAGAGAGCCCTCTTCGAAGCTGGAAGCTGCAGCTGTTTTGCAATTGCCATGAACTGGGCAATTATGTTGAGGCATCTCCGGGGAATCAGGCCAATAGCATGCGTTCATCATAGTGGCAACTTGGGACTGAGCCCAAAGCTGTAGAGACTTATAGCACAGAAGCTTGAAGAAACCGTACCACCATTATCCCTGCGGGCTCCCCCAGTGCAACTACAGTATACCGGATCCCAAACCTTGATGATTACGTAGTCTCACCTCCAGGATTGGTTGCATGCTCGAGTGAACAGCAGAGTCTAGGTTCCCCTGTCTGTGTACTTGATGGGGTAAGCCCTGGGTATGACCTCCCTTTGCAGTCGCCTTCCCTTAGTAAGGGGTTCCTAGAGCAGTTTACTGCAGGGGGGATTGGCCGAACGCCAGACCCTAAAATGGCCTAAAGGCTCCATAAGCCATAAGCTCTTGCTCCAAGCTTCCGGAAGGCCACAGGAAGGCCGAAGCACAGGCTTCTGACTTAGCACAGGCTTCTGGCTTTGTAGAGCTAGATTCGATCAGTGAGCTTGGAGCTTTGGGCCGCTTTCGCCTCGTGCCACTATGGCTTCCTCCAGGTGGTCGCTTGAAGGCTTCAGGGCCGTCGTGACAGGTTCCACGAAAGGCCTCGGCTTCGCCGTGGCCAAGGAGATGCTTGAGCTGAAGGCCGAGGTGGGGGTTTCCGAATATAGGGGTACCTTGTTTGGGGGGTCCTTATAGTAAGGGACCTAACAGTACTATTTAGGGTACTATATTAGGGTCCCCTATTTTCGGAAACTCCCAGGTCGTCATCGTGTCCCGGAAATCCGAAGAGGTGGAGGAGACCTGCGCATCTCTGGCCAGGGAAACGAAGCGATCGATTCCTGGCATTGCTGCCGACATCTCGACGAAGGAAGGCCGTGAGGCGCTGGTTGCCTATGTGCAGGAGCTTTGGGGTGGTTCCCTGGATGGCCTGGTGAACAATGTCGGCACAAATGTCCGGAAGCCCATCCACGAGGCCACAGAGGAGGAGTACCACAACATGATGCGCACCAACATCGACTCCTGCTGGTTTCTCTGTAAGATGTTCAAGCCCATGCTCGAGCGCTCATCGCGGGCCTCCGTTGTCAACATCTCGAGCGCCGCTGGTGTGCGGAGCACCGGCACAGGGTCTGTCTACGCCATGACAAAAGCCGCCGTGGCGCACTTAGCCTGCTCGTTGGCGTGTGAATGGGGACCCCTCGGTATCCGGGTGAACTGCGTTTGTCCCTGGATGGCGCGAACCCCACTTTTGGAGGAGGCCGTTCGCCAAAACCCGAAGCAGCTCGAGGATGTGAAGAAAGTCACTCCGCTTGCTCGCCTTGGTGAGCCGGAGGACACGGCGGGCACGGTGGCCTTCCTTTGTATGCCGGCAGCTGCATACATCACTGGGCAGGTTATTTCAGTGGACGGCGGGATTTATGCGCAAGGCTTTCGTGGGCCTTGCGTTGCCGAACCACAGGCGTGATAGTTTCGAGCTGCTGCGCTACCTTCTGCCTTCGCAGCACTGCTTGCCCATAGTTTTGCTTATCATCGTTCGCAGCTGACCCTGCCTCTACGGTTTCACGGGAAGCCTATTGTCAGCTCTTCCGGTAGTGTAGCGTAGAGATAGACCTCCTTGGCAAGCGTGCCGACAGGGATTTCGGTTTGTTCGCTGCAGCTCCTGGAAGTCTGGGAATGGGAGGCCTTACAGGACGGGCCGTGCCATCTAAAAGGCAGGTCTGAATCATTGAACAGTCGTCCCATTTCTGATTGGACTGGAATATATCCACGAAACGTGAAGTTCTAATGAAGACCCTTAATTATCAACTTCTCAGGTCAAGCAGGGGTGTCGGAGATGATGGTTCAGGGTTGTTTGCTCATAAAGGCCCCCAAGAAAGATGTAAGCGCTCAGAGATTCCATCATTCTGAGCGAAGGGACGTTGGCACAGCTCTGTCTTCATGCATGAACCTCAAGGATCCCATGCCCGGCATGGCCGAACACTGCGGGTTTAGGGTTTAAGTCCCACTACATGCCGCCGCTGGCAGACCGGCGAAAATCGCAGCATTCTTGATATTTAAGGTACACGGTTCGGGCCCATGAAAATTCGAAGGAGGATGCGACAGCCAAGCCGGTTGAGGAGGCGCGCTGCAGACTGTTGGATGGCACCGGTTGCATGCCAGGAGCATAGAGTCTGTTGCAGGTTTCTTGTTCCGTAAGAACCCCCAGCTCTGAAATTCTGAACCCTAAGTTTCAGAACCTGCGTGAGTGCGACCGGGTGGTTGTTGCGTGATGACCTTGCTACGAGCCAGGAGTGTACCGGAATGAGCACACCCAAGAGGTACTTGAAACAGTCATAAATCCTACACCCCGCCCACCCCCACCCAACCTGGTCCGGCTTCTAATACAGGTGCCTAAATTAAATAAAGACCTATACCATTCCTTAGGGTTCCTCATTATGATTCTAAAATATAATATACCCCGAAACCCTATTCCAATTATTAAGGCCCCCTTTTTATGAGGTGAAGGAAGTTGTCACTGGCCTATCTGGCCCTCCGGCTGTTTCGCGCCCCTGCACCCTGAGCCGCAGTCAATCGAGAACACTGCCTCCGAAGGCATCTGCGGCAGCCGCTGAGTCATCGGAGGGGCCTAGCAAGAAGGTGTATCTTGCAGGCCTGCTTTATATCGATGTAAGACAGAGCAGGTGTATGATATATGTGTTCGAGTACTTGCCCGTGCTGGGTTTAGTCTTGTTCAGGAGCTAGTTGCAGGCGGTAAACTTACTTGCCGACCTAGCAACAAAGCAACTTCCACGGCAAGCATGACCCTTGAGTCAGAAAGTGCATCCACTTGAAAGACGTTCAGGGTCCAGTCTGGGACCAACATACGAGCGTTTGGAAACACAAGTGGCTATGTACAGTCATCCTCAGCTGCCCCGTGTTGCAGGAGCGGGGTTCTTTGGGATCCTTCGGGAGACTAATTACAGGTCAGAGCTCCTACCCTGAGAGATCGAAAGCTTTGCTTAAGGCTTGGACTATTTCAGGGTCCCTGACATTCCAGATGCACTCGGAGTCTCTGGGTTCAGCTTCAGAAGACACGGTAAGATCAGCAAACGTAGCTGCTGCGAATGCGTTAGACCCTAAACCAGCCGCTTGGAGCCTCAACCCCAGCCTCCAGACCCTCCAGACCCGAAGCCCTAAACTGCTTTGGGTTTAGGGTTTAGGAGTTTAGGGTTTAGAGTTCAGCCCACAACTACAACCGCAATCCTTGAACCCCAGCCTCAAATCCTAACGACAAAGTTGCCGTATCTCGGGAGAAAGCAGCTCCGCCCAAGAGTTCACCAACATCGCAGGCCGACTCTTCAACAACCGGACGGAGCTTGCCGCACATGTCAAGAAGATTCAGGCTGCTGTGGTGCTGGGTTGGGGGTTTGAGATGGGTTGAGGATTTGGGGATTTGAGGGTTCGAGCGGGGTTTAAAGTCGGCCAAAAGCTTGTAATATAGGGGCCTTAATAATTACCTATATTATTCCCTAGGGCTCCTTCTCATAATTGTAGTATAATATACCCCAATACCCTAGTCTAATTATTGAGGCCGCTGCGTCAGTTCAGAGTTTGAGTGTATTGGGTTTGGCCGGGACCCGGCACTGGGAAATTGGGGCTTGGAGCTTGAGATCTCGAGGGTTTTCGAGGTTTTAGGACTTGGGAGCTTGGGATCTTCACATGATTTAGCGGTGGGTTTAGGGTGTGGAATGCAGAGGAGGAGATGGTGGAGTTGTCTTGCGAAGAGTTATGGGGTTTCTCTCTCGACAAAGAGAGTTGCCAAAGGCTCTTTAATTCGACGGTGTCAGGGCTTATTACAGCAGCTTTTCCATAGAATCTAGCATGATCCATTATAGGGTCCTCCTTCTTTCAAGGCATCATGACCTTCACCATACCTAAATTATCTGACATAAGCCAAACCTCGGCCCGCACCCATGTTGCAGCAGGTAGACAATGCCCCAAACACTGTGTCCTAGGTCCTAGCTAGGTAGGAGGCAGGAAAATCCTAAACCCTGGTACTAACCAAGGCAGGGCACGTCCAAAACGACCCGTCAGCACAATCAAGACCTCAGGCTTCAGAACCAGCGGCTAAAGTCCTCAGGCACTTCCGTTTACCCTGAACCGGGATCAGAAAGTTCAAAAGGGAACCCACATTCCGAGCACTACCCCCACATCGGCGCAAGGATTCGGTCGCATCGGACGACGGCACTAAAGGCGAACTCTCGACCGAGGACCCAGTCCAGAACGTTATTGACAAACTATATTACTCACCGAAAGGTGCATGTTTATAAACTCTTGAATCTTCAGGGCCCATATGAATTTTCGGAGCGTATGCTCGAAGTGTTCGAGTGCTGTTCTGGACCCCTACTGGTGGGACGCCTCATCTTGGAAAGCTATGTACGCCTTAGGCATTGGCCTTTATGGTCACCACTGGCAACCGTTCAAAGAAAAGCGGGAAACGGAGTCGTGCAACGGGCTGTCTGCATAGTCTCATGATCACACCCTGCTTTTGCTGCTGCCTTTACTGTTATTTTCATCATCCACAGCTTCATTTTGCGAAGCGACGGTTTTCTCGAATGTGCCTATGCGGGGAAGGGTGCACGAGAACTAGAGCTCCCGGAACGTGAAGAGCCCCAAACGCTTCGTCAAAAGGCACCTGAGCCATCAGGGTCTAGAAGAAGCCAACTCGAGGAAAGCTCGGCTCCCAGGTATAATGGGCCCCAAAACCCTATTCTAATTGTTAAGGCCCCTACATTAGGTTGTGTTTTGTATGGCTTTCTCGAACAGGTTGTTCGGTCTCGTCTCCGCGAAAATGAGATGTTTCGCCTAGCAGCCTATTTTGCAACGGCCTTGCACTTTCAGGTTTCGCGGCCCTTTCACGGATGTTAGGGTTTCCCGCAAATGACGAAGGTTTAGCGACTCTTCGGCAGTTTTTGGAGCAGCGCCTTCTGTGAATCTGCTCTGGGGGTGGGGCCCAAAGAGCTCACGCAAATTCCAGGAGCAGCCGCAAGTGAAACAAACCTTCCCATGCCAAGCCTGCAAATGGCCGCCTTTTCCAAGGGTTTTCCACTACGTGGAACCAATGTAGGCAAACCCGAACAAGGCTTGGATTACAAGCCTTCCCGTCAACAACCAAGCACACAGGCAAAATAAGCATCAAGCGAGCACGAGAATCGCTGTCGAGGACAACCTGTTCATCTTCCACCTCCTCCTGCACCATCCAAAGGCCTCTTCTAACAGCGGAGAGACCGTTGCTGTCACTTCGCTTCCTGGTGCTACTTTCCTAGGGCAGGGCAAGGTTGTGGGCATGGGGTGTCAGCTAAAGCCCTTACTGTAGGCCCTACGTCCACAAAACCGAAACCCGCTTCGGCGCTTTGCGAAAGTTCTCTTAGTTCCCCTTATGGTCCTACAGAGAGGTACCCATTCTCGGACAATCTTGGGGGCCAAAGTTTACAACCCCCAAAACCCGTTCGAGGTCTTCGGAGTTGTACCTTGAGCTCGGCTGCCCGACACCCTGAACCCCGAAGAGAGTTGACGAGCATCGATCATTGGCCGTATAATTTGGAGAGGTCGGAATACTGAGTAAGCAGCGAAGCAGAACTCCCTTATAGTCCCTGTATTAATCCATCTGTTTATGTGGTGCTCATACCCCCCTAACCCTATGATGACTATCAATGCTCCTATATGAGCTGCCACGAAAAACAGACTCTTAGGCAACGCAAGCATTGATACCATGGTTATTTGGCCTTACTGTGCCAAGTAGTACCAAATATACAAACCATCCAAAACCTCCACATGCAGGATTTGGATTTTGGTTGGGGCTCGTGGTTTTTAGCGGAAGCTTTGGAATAGATTGAGGGTCTTGACCTGTCAAACGACCCAAGAAAAGATTACGTTACTTGTAAGGGGGTCCATGCCGGCTCAAGGCATTTTGAGACATTGGTCTTTATTTTCTGGGGTTCAAGGCTGCAGGTTAAGCGTCTCAAGTCTCCATTCAAGACCACCAAAAACTTCAACCACCAACCGTAGCAGCACGCAAGAAGCTCGGGCTCGTCCGAGCGTGAGCGCTGAAACCATCAGGCAGGCCCAGCCAGACCCTACCGGGCCCCTACCGCACAACATCCAGCATGATGAAAGATCTGCACACTTCCAGTGTAAATGAACTTTAAGGGATTGAGGCGTAATTCTACGACAACGGTTGAGCTTCAGCCCGGGCCCTCAACTTCAAGGCCTAGGCTGGCTGAACATGGATCGCAAGCTTGAACCTCCTGCAATGCAAGATGCACGCCAGGCCGTAGAAAAGATGGTGAAGCCCATCTCTCACTTCCGGTATGGCATCTATGATGCTTGGGGCACACAAGGATGAGGAAAGTGTGGGTTTATGTTGAAACCTGGGAGCTCAGGGTCAACTTCCGGTTTCGAGCCTCGTGGTGTCTCTGGGATCTT